GTTTCGAAATTAAAGAGATGGTAGGAATACTTTGAAAGCGTGTTTAAGAGTGAAGAGTCGTCTGAATTAAGTGAAATAGAAATTCCGAGAGAAATGGAGAGAGTTAGGGAGATAAGTGTAGATGAAATAATGAAAGCAATGAAAAGCATGGAAGTATGTAAGGCAGCCGGATATGATAGAGTATCACTCGAAATGCTAAGGGCTGGAGAGGGTGTGGTTGTAGGCCTGCTGTACACCTTGTTTAATTTATGTTGGGAACTGAAGCGGGTACCGGAAGACTGGTGCAAAGCCGTTATAGTCCCAATATATAAGGGAAAGGGGATACACCGGGACTGTATAAACTACCGTAGTATCAGCTTGCTTAGCATTGTGGGTAAAATGTATGCTAAGGTGTTAATTGAAAGAGTTATGGAAGAAATTTGGGATGTGCGAGTTGGATTTAGAAAGGGAATGGGGTGTACGGATCAAGTCTTTTCCATGCGCATGATTGCGGATAAATTTTTGGCCAAAACCCAGAAAGTTTTTTGTGCGTTCATGGACTTGGAAAAGGCTTATGACAGAGTGGACAGGAACGTGTTATGGCAAACACTGACCTCATTTGGGCTGAGCGCTGGTTTCATACAGGCATTAAGGTCTCTTTATAGGGACTCTAGTGCTTGTGTCAGGATCAACGGGGTTAACTCGGACAGGTTTGGCATTCAAAAAGGTGTCGGACAGGGCTGTGTAGCTTCCCCGTGGCTGTTTAGCCTATTTATGAACAGTTGTTTGCAAACTTTGAAAGTTGAAGAATGTGGGTTGAGAATGAGTGAGTTAACCGTCAAATGCCTTTTGTACGCCGATGATCAAGTCATATTTGCATTGTTAGCGGCCGAGTTGCAAATGATGGTTACTTTAATGAACTGGTCATTAAAAGAAAGGGGTATGAAAGTGAACGCAAGTAAGATGAAAGTGATGGTTTTTGAAAGAGAAGAAAGTAAAACGTTATGTGAAATAAGAATAGAAGTGGAGTTGATTGAGCAAGTGGATGACATTATTATTTATGAGATTATTATTATTATTTGGGATGTTTATTTAGCAGGGATGGTAGGTATGATAAGGATAAAGAACGACGAGTGAACGCAGGAAATAGAGTGATGAGGCTCTACACGCTATTATGTAGAGTCAAAATGTGTCAAACAAGGCACGTATGGTAATTTATAATGCTGTGTTAGTCCCTACTTTAATGTATGGTAGTGAAAGTTAGGTCTGGCAGAAGAAGCATGAGAGTAGAATAAATGCTGTAGATATGCGGTCATTAAGGAGTATGGTAGGGCTGAATCTGAATGACAGGGTGAGAAATAGTGTGAAAAGAGAAAAGTGTGGTTTGCAAGATGACGTTGTGATCAGGATTAAAAAAGGAATGTTTCAGTGGTTTGGTCATGTAGAAAGAATGAACGAGGAAAGAGTGACAAAGCAAATTTATGTTTCAGAAGTGAACGGCAGAGCCGGGAAGGGGTGCCCTAGACGAAGATTTATCGACCAAATCGGCGATACATTGAAAATGGGCCAGATTAGGAGTACCCTTAACCGACTAGCGTGTATGCGTAGATATATGGATGTAGAAGAGGCGAGAGAGGTATGTCAGGATCGCGCCAAATGGAAGTCCGTAGTCTCTGCCTAACTCTCTGGGTGACAGGCGTGAGTGTTTGTGTGTTTGTGTGTGTACAGCCAATTTCAATATAAATTATTAAGAATAAGTCAAAAACTATTGGCCTGACCTTGATCAAATTTATATGGGACCACATGTAAAGCACGAGCTTTCAAATAAAAAAAGAATCATCGAAATCGGTTCACCCAATAAAAAGTTATGACGTAACACACATAAAAAAATATACAGTTGAATTGACTACTGACTCCTTTTTGAAGTCGGTAGAAAAATAAGCCTGGTGAAATTTTTGATTTGTCCATTTTTAGGAATTCCTCGGTATCAATCAAACCGCGCGCACTCCCTACACGGGACTATTCTCTGCCAATGAGCAGTACTGATCAGCTGACATTAACTCTTCCATTGATCTTTACATATTACAAAGATTAACCGACTCCCGCATGTTTGTCCTATGACTATCCATGTGTGTGTTTTTACTATAAGCTAGCTACATTCATATTATTTTGATTATAGCGGTTGACATCTTTATTACCTACATTTATATCACACGCAACATATAATAGTCACTTTTATTGTATCAAGCGAAGTATGTTTCTATTTATTGTATGAAAAACCTCGTGCTTTGGTAATTACAAAGAAAAAGCAGTACTACTGTTATACGCGGAAAACGTGTCACCACTGGACACTATTACTCCTAGAGTGTCACTTTCAGCTATAGAACCACAGAATACTATTACTCTTTACCCAGAATCAGAGTTTCTGTTGAAACCAATTTACATATTACACAAGGTTATTTTGCAATAACCGACCAAATTTGCAGAGAAGGTTAAGAATAAGTAACATAGAAAATGGTGAAGAAAACTTAATTAAAATAGATAACATTTTGTCCTTTTTATCTTTTAAATTCAAAATGCGCACGCACACATTCCTAAAGGTCGATCGGTAGGCAAAAATGTTGTTGCCCATTAATCACATTCAATTTGGAATAATTTCAAATAAAAGTAGAAACCTTATTTACTCGTATTTTCAAAAACTGCAATAACGGTATATCATTATTTATATATTTGAACTTACTCTTTGAAAAATAACCCTATACATACAAGAATTTGTAATTGAATTTGGAAAAAATATAAATAATGTTACTAAAGTATAAAACGTATAAATCATAACTAAAATATAATTCATAACTACTTCCACTGTTATACACATTATTTTGTAAATCAATATCGATTATTTATTAATATACTGTGTTAATTATTTATTAAAGAGTAGGCCGGGCGATGCAGGAAGTCGATGGGTACAGGTAGTTCAGAACCGTGCTTTTCCTGGAGAGGCCTATGTTCAGGAGTGGATTTTTGAGGGACACTATTGTACCATTGTCGCATATTAGATTAAAATTTAATTTACTATTCGTCATGTAGTTTAGTAAGAGAAATCACTACCCACGTCATTCCGTGATGATTTAACTGAAACCGTAGACGAGTTTCGGGTATGGAAGAGACCCGCCCGTTAAGCATGGCAATTATGGTAAATATGAGGTCTATCTAAAGGTGAGGCTGATTTTCAGCATATTTTTGACTTCGTACCGGTAAGGCCTGCTCATTTCGCGCTTTCCTGTACGGGGCTGCCACTCGAGAACCTTCACTATTTCTTCCATCGGCTGGCAGTGTTTCTTGGCTGGGCCATTGCCATTTCACCTTATTATTATTATACAGTTGTGACATAAATGTTTATGAGTATTTCTGATCTAAACATTTATGAAGCAACCACAGTGAAAATAATAGTGTCAGTGTAATAAATTTTTAACAAGTTTTATTGCACAGAGTTTCAAAGTTTAATGCTGACACACTTAATCTACCTTTTATTAGTCTCTGTTTTATTATTCTGTCTCTTATATTCCTCCTTTTCCCTCTGTTGTGGGAATATGCATAATAGATACTCTCCTTGTCCGTGGTAGAGCCATGCTGCAGCTATATTAGTAGTATAGTTGTAGCACGAATAGGTCGGCTGAGTGAGTCGGCTTTTTATTGGAAACGAGGCCTTACAGCTTAGTCCTCACGGGTGACAACGCATCTGCATTTTGATTCATAATCGTGAAAAGATGTAGATGTCTAAGGGCCGCAGCAACAACTTACCATCAGGTGGGCTGTGTGCTCGTTTGTCACCCTTCTCCTATAAAAAAAATCTAGTCCAGTCTTCCCGGTCTAAGTATCGGAACTGGACTGTACTATATGTAGTATATATAGTTCCTCCATTCTAACCTCTATACTTTTTCCACCCACGACTTACTTATAAAATATCTTAGAAAATCTCGGATAACATGGAGACTGGCGCTTCGCAACATCGCCCCTTTTCCCCTCGCTGTCCACCAACTTTTAGTAATTTTTAGTCATATTTAGTCAAAGTTTGAATTGCTTGAATTGAAATTATTTAATTAATCAATAAAATACAGATTTTATCAATTATATTAGTAGGTCAATTTTATATTAAGGATTTTAAATATACTGCAGATATTTTAGTCTAATTTTTAAAAAAAAAATATTTTTGTTTTTTTTTCAATAAAACTTATTTTTATATTTTTATTTACATATTACAAATTAAAAACAGAAGGGGCAAATAGTTTTAAGAAGTTTCGAAATAAGCATTAAACTGTTGCGCAGAGCCTCTGCGGCGGTGTTGACCTAAAACTTATTCGGCAAATGAACGGGTCCAATCAATTAAGAACGGTCAGCGATCCGCCAGAAAACGGGGCAGCGCGCGCGCTCTCCAAGGAAACTCGGAAAATGGTAGCGGGGAGGCCGCGACAAAGCAGTGCAGGGACATGAATGTTACTTGCTATTTGGAAATAACATAATAGCTTTATTCATTTAAATTCAAATTTGTTATACTAGTTAACTGCTCGTTGGTAAAACCTACCCCAAAACTTCTATGATAAGATAACTTTCATATATGTAACAATGTTTTGGAAATATATTATGAAATTATTATTTGAAAACAAACTTTAATATTTTTTTTTAATAATAATATTTTCAAAGTTAAGTTTAACAAAATATGTCAGGTAAAATTTTTATATTACCATCATGTATGTATCGTACCTATGTCGAATTGTAAATAGCGCTTATAATTATAGAAATTTTGTGAGCCGTATCGTATAAACTCAAAAAGCTTTTATTAAAATTAGCAGGTGCTAAAAGAAGCTATATATAATAAGAGTGAAAGGTTGTGTGAACCACCACTAGTGAGAAGGGTGCGTGCGGCGCGGAATCGATCGTGCGGGGCGGCGCACGGAGTGCTGTGAGTGCTCAGTCCGGCGGGGCGGCCGGCGAATGCGCGCGTGTGATGCGCTGCCGCTGAGATGGCCGGCGCTCGGGCGCTCGTAGCCGCCTGCTGCTGCTGCTGGTGGCTGGCGGAAGCCGCCGGTAAGTACCACCACAGTATAACCTACCATACATTTAAGTTTGCTTTAACACACCCCGTGCTAGATCAGCTGATTCACCTGGATCATAAATTGTAATCTTTACGCGTTGTCACAGCCTTAAGAATACGAGTGCTGCGTCGCGTGCTATATCCGCGATCAACCCTCGTCTAACATTTTCCAAGAATCTTAAAGTTTCAACTGTCCTCATAATTTTACGTAATTTTCGTGCAAGCTTTACTTTCTAGGTTATTTCAATGTGATGAAAATTCAAGTGTGTATGTGTAGTAAATAAATTATATGCTTAAATTAATTAACCATTTGAAAATAAAATGAAAGAAACCTAAAATATATAGATATATGTCTTAATAAAATTTCCGCGCCGAATTGAAATTAATACGATATAAAATTCAACAGCTTACACCAAATGTATATAAATAAATTAAATTATATGAACTTTCGAAATGTTTAATGCCTCGTACTGAAAGTTACATAAGTAAAAAACGTTTCCAGTTTTTTGTGCGAAATCAAATTATTACCTACTTATTATATTTTTTACTATAATTTTGAACGTATGCAGTATTCAGCAGATTTAATGTTTTCACTTACCGGCACTATGCTCTCGCACGTCCTTGCTGCGACCACTATCAGGCAACCGTTTGACATTACGTCATACGCCTAAACTGACACATCTGCGTAAATATTGATAATTATCACGCCACTTTGCCGCGAGCAAGTAAGATAAATGCAAGCATCACAACACCTGCCCGTAAAGTGGACGTAATCTGTTCACTTGGGGTAATTTTGTTAATTAAATATTTTTTATATCTACCGTGAGTATCCGGAGTTCAGATTTAATTATTACGTATTTGAAAAGTAGTCTAGTGGTTGCACTTTTATATTTTTATTTTATATAATATATATCTGTAAAGAAATTACTCAATCTCTTGGGAACAATTTATCTACAATTCATAAGAAGCTACGACTCGATTTTTAGCATTTATCAGGCTTATGTTATTGCCAAATACTTTTGTGAACGATATTTTAAAGAAAAAGGCTGAATGCAATGTCATGAATTATACGGGAAGCACAAATAAGGTAACAGCATAATGTAGAGTACTAGCTGTCTTTTAAAAGGGGGAATGCAATTGAAATAACAAAGTTATTTTAGGATTAGAGTTTACGGTATATTTATATATTTTATAATAAAAATAATAAGAATATAGATAGATTAAATTATTTATTTCTTCCGTAAATTATTGATCCCTTTCAAAAGACATCAACGCGCGTTTATTTAAACAATGAGGTCTAAATGAAGCTCAATAGATAAGAATTGCTGCATACTGACAACCCTCTAGTCTCAACGACCTTTCCAAATTTTTCGAAACATATTTAAGTCTTTACATATAAGTAATTATTATTTATGGGGACGGCAAAGTAAGATTAAATAGGTCAACTAAAGTAATAAAATATTATTTTTAATGATAGTATAAGATAGGTAGGCATGTATTAGTAAATGTCCCGCCACAGCCTTCGTGCTTATTTTTTTTACCACCCAGAATTACTTGAGCACCCAGAAATCCTTTTAGTTGAGTTAGGTTAGAAGACTGTGGCGGGAGCGAAGCGCAATGCAGGTCCTGGTACAGTCTTCAAGGTAATTTTTTTTACTGTCCAGAGAAAGTAAGCACCCAGAAATCCTTACATTTAAGATAGAGGACACTGCTGCTCCCCTCACCTAGTTTTATGGGATTTTCTTTTTAATTTTTCTCATAAACTGTGTATTACCTTTTCATGGGTGTAGTGTCTGGGTGTAGAGGACACACCCCGCTCCCCTCTCATTTCTCTAACCCTCCCCCTTCCTGCTAAATGGTTCTATATTTTTACCTAAAATAATTAGATTCTTAATAATTAAAACTGCATAGGGTGGATGCCCCTAATACAAGCCATGCCCCTAATTCCAGCCTTTTCGCCTTTTTACTTCGTAAATAAGATTTCTATTAGTCTTAACTACAAATATTGTCACCTAAAAATTTTTCCGTAACCAGAGGAAAGTATATTTTTAAACCCTAACAGTGTTAAATTAAAAATCAAAACACGTAATATAAATCAGGGCTGTCATAAACTGGAATAAATACCATTTATTAGATCATAATTTATTTTATAGTTAAGGGAGTTATGACCAATTCCTCTGTTTTAAAATCGGTTTTAGATTTTAAAGTTTAACAAAAGCTGTACTAGTTTTTCTATCTGACATTCGGTGTATATTAAGGACAGCTTATGTATTCAATTATTTTTTGAGAAAGAAGAAAAAACAAACAATAAATATAGTATATACTAGCTGTTCTCCGCGACTTCACCCGCGTGTAATTTAGGGTTTTAATTATGTTGCGCGGAACCCTAATTCTTTTTCTAAAATGTAAGTAGCCTAAATTACTTCTTATAACATCAGCTATCGTTCAGTGAAAGTCCCGTCGAAATCGGTCCAGTCGTTTCAGAGATTAGCTGGAACAAACAGACAAATAGACAAAAATTTTAAAAATTGTGTTTAAGTTATAGGTACCGTATATACTTTCATATGCATTTAGTAAAAAGCTGTTATTTTGACATTACAAACAGACAATTCAATTTTATTTATTTGTATAGATAAGCAAAAACTATAACTTAGTAATACTAACTACAACTTAGAACATAAATGAAAAGCTCATGACAAATAAAGCGGTTTAGGGCCAGGCTTTGCGCCAGTCTATGGAGGAGGATGTTCCGTAGTGGACTTGTGTAAGATTATAATGACGATGATGATTGGAAAACTTGGATATTTAAATTATTAGAAATCGATATACTACGTAATATTTCATCATAATTTGCTTTAATTTATTGAACTGCTTTATACTAAAACAGTAATTTAAGTAGTAAAACCTTAAAATTAAATAATGTTGTCGTTCTGCCTTAATAATATCCCATGCTTGTCACATGCAGATTCAAAATTAAAAGATACCTACAATAGGTACTTACCAAAAACTCAAAAGGCACAACCCCATGCTATGCTGGCATTAAGTACACAAAAGGATGACATGCTGTACAGGCTGGCTGGCATTTGAGCCATTACGCCTTTTTTTGCTTATCGTTGTTTTTAAAATTGTTCTTGAAATAATATGATTGTTAATAAATGTTCATTCTATTTTTAGATAAATAACCTATCGATTAAAACAAATGTTTAAAAATATTGTGCCCTAATTAAAGTAGCAGGAATTTTTAAAGTTGAAATTGACACTAAAAGGCTGGTAATAGGGGCCTCCATCCTAATTGCGTATTTTTACATTAAATAAATCTACATTTACATAATTACATAATATAAGAGCACGTGCCGATAATAAGTGAAGTTATTATTTTTAATTTTTTTAGATGAAAGAAATATAAAAAGGCCGTATACATATGATTATAAGTAAAGCCATCAACCAAGCAATTACCAAATACCTCGAAGGTAAATTGACGTAGAGTAGAAGAAGTCGCTTTTAAAGTAATTGAGACAAACTCCTCACGCAATAGTAATCGATCGCAAATTGATTACCGCACATTGTATACAGCAATAACAAATAAAGGATTCCTAAAATGTAGACTACTCGATATTAGTGTCGATTTCAGGCATTTATCATGTGGGAAAGAATATTAAGTCTCGCAGTCGTAAGTAAAAATAAAATAGCAGTACATTGTTACACTTTTACTAAAATTAAATCACCAAAATCAAAGAAAGATCATAAAAAGAAATTCTGTAATAAATAATCTTTAAAATATATAATATAACTAGCTGGCCAGGCAGACGTTGTTCTGCCCTTTCCGACGACACTTCCTATGACGTCACTTTTCGGGATAAAAACTATCCTATCTCTCAGGTTGGACCAAACTGGACACAGTGTGCAAAATTTCATTGAAATCAGTTCTATAGTTTAGGAGTTCATCGCGGACAAACAATCTGACACGTAATTTTTATATATAAAGATAAAGATATGCTAGAAATACTTGTTAATAATACTCATAATATTTTAAGAATCTTACATTTTCTGTATTTAACCAGTTCTGAGTATACTTAAATATTCTTATGCACCTCATTGAAATAAAGATGTGACAAATCTTGTTAGTTTGTAATCATGACACTAAGGTTTCAGAACACGAAAGGTAAAAAAGATTTCCGCAATTTTGATGCAAATATCAAACTAAAAACCTGACAGGAAAGAAGCAGGGAGTATATTTCCCGAAGCCATTTGGCGAAATAGTTCATTGACCTACCAAACTTATGTAGGGCAAATCGTCTCAAAGCATTACGTTTGATACATTTGCCGTCATATGTGAAGTTTAATGTACTATTTTATTAATCACTTTTTGTAACATGAAAATAAAATTTATATCCAGCACAAATTTTAATACTTTTTTTGAAGTTGCACCATAATTTAAATTGCCATATAAGAACAGAGTGCAATATATAGTGAATTGAAATATTGAATTTGCGAATAATGTTTTATTATATATAAATTTATTTATTTTACATTATTTATTATATATATTTATTTTATTATATATATATATATAAATTAACAATACTTCAAAATATAGCATTATATATATATATATAATTTTTAATTTTTCGCAAATTCAATATTTCAATTCACTATATATTGCACTCTGTTCTTATATGGCAATTTAAATTATGGTGCAACTTCAAAAAAAGTATTAAAATTTGTGCTGGATATAAATTTTATTTTCATGTTACAAAAAGTGATTAATAAAATAGTACATTAAACTTCACATATGACGGCAAATGTATCAAACGTAATGCTTTGAGACGATTTGCCCTACATATGTTTGGTAGGTATATATATATATATATATATATATATATATATATATATATATATATATATATATATATATATATATATATAATGCTATATTTTGAAGTATTGTTAATTTTTATTAAAAATACTTCAAAATTGTTCAAAGAGTTAAAAT